CGATCATCGATACTCAGTATTGGCCTACAATTTGCTAGAAAACAGCTAGAAAACATGGAAAGGGTATAGTCAACAACAAATTTGCATAGTCGCTATATGAGTTAAATTAAGAAACAGGTCGTGATTGTTACACATGTATGAGCTCAGTACCTTCCAAAGGACCAAAGGAATGTTAGCATCCTCAAAGCCTAGATTGAATGCAGAGAATAGTAGTCCATGAGCTAACCAAAAAGAATACTGCAACCCAAAATCAAATAAAGCAGAGTCCAACAGCCACAAAGCATGATGACGAACTACTATTAATGGAGCAGGTAAATGAGACATGAAAGTATGAAACCACACACCCAATAACCCCCAAAGCTACCAGATACATGGATATCCTACATATGGTGACGACACATTCTGAAACAAAATCAGCTGCATATTGCACATAGTTCATATTTCCTCAAATTGCTCAATAAGCTTGAACAGTTTAACAAGCCTAATAATCTAGACACGTCTAAATAAACTGCGGGCTATGAACACCTATTGCTCCAAAGAGTGCACAATGCACAGCGGCGCCTAAAAGTACCACATATTGATTTAAGCATGGGAACAAAAATCAGGGGGGCGCCATAATGTAAAGGAGCACATACCTAAAAGCAATATGTGTTGGGTCAACTTCGAACACAAGAATCACCAGCGCTATTAGTGAAGGTTGATGCTTGTGTACATGACAACCAGCTGGAAAAATGCAAGGCAAAAATAACAGCAACGATGGAAAGGATGGTTCTGTATATTTTTTCGACAACAAATGCAGAGGAACAACAAAGGAAATAGAAATAGCTGAAGACCAACCATTAGGTACAGAAGAACAACAATTAAAAAATAAATAAATGAAAGAAGGAAATAAGCAGCAGACCCCAGAAACTGAATATAGTCACCAAATTGTCAGGATACTAATCAAATTTCTGGTATGCATATCCGCAACAGGCACAACTAAAAAAATTCTGCTAGAATAGGTACCTCGTATTTTTTTCGTCAGAATGAACACAATCCTGTACGGACATGTGTGAGAAATTTATGTGTAAGCAGAAAGCAAAGTGTACTCGGAACAAGAAGAAACGGGAGAACCCAAAAAGTGATCACCGACAATGATCAGAGGCATACAAAGAGGGGCTCAGATTGGACAACTATGTCCTGTTCGTTTGGGCAGATAAGCCATGGCTGAAAAGTACCGTTGACTGATTTGTTGTGGGAGAAAAATACTGTTCGTTGGCTGAAAAAGCATGGCTTATAAGCCAAACGAACAGAGCAATTACTTTTAGGTCATAAGCAAGCATGACAGCAAAACCAATAAAGGCAATGATTAGGTTAGAAAAAAGGAGAAAGCATCGGAGGCAATGAAATGACAAGCTGTACATTTCCGCAGGGGTTCCGTCAAGGAGATGGCATCCACGTCAGGTAGAGAAACGTGTACCGTTCCATCCACCTCAGTTATCACTTAACAAGCTGAAAAGAGATGGAAAAAAAGTAGAACTAACACGACTCATGACCATTGCCTCAGCCATGAACATAATAGGTAGATGTAAAGGAAGAATCGTCGTAGCCCCTGAGCATTGCCTGAGTTACCAGGAAAAAAGAAAGAGATGTAGACTGTGTAACGGTAGCCCACGATCACTGCAAATCAGACATAAAACATGGTTTATGATGCAACCATGACAGCAGCAGCTCATTCACTGCAAAATAAATGTAAAAGCAAAGGATACACCAAAAATAATAAGCAATCATCACAGAGTTGACATTAGGTAAGAGCAAAATCATATTTCAGATAGAAAAGTCATATTCACTGTAAGAACCATAAGATAGGAATCAAAGAAGGAAGCCAATGCATAGGTATAGCCTAGAAATTTAAGGCAAAAATTGACCCTGATATTGCAGTTCACCAAGTAATAAATTATCTTGCTAGCAAGCCCAACTTCAAATACATCATTTGGAAATGGGGTATGCTCATTAATAGACCAACCGATAAATTGTATGAAGCAAAAACATCATTGACAATAGATGTATGGTAACTAACAAATGGATAGAAATGTGCAACTAATATAACAATATTGTTACGACAAAGGCACCGAAAATAGCAACCGCCCGCGAGGAGACATTGAGCAGCCGCCGTCGCGCATGCCCACGTCAGAGAGCGAGGCGAGCAGAGGCAGGAGGCGTTTTTTGTTTTTTTAGAACAGGGCAGGCAGCGGCTCTGGGGAATCGGATGAAAGCGGAGAAGAGACGGTAGAAGCTGGAAGGCCAGCTATATATACGCCAGACCATTACTACTGCACAGAAGCCATCAGCTTACGGTCAGGACAGAAGGAAGCGGGGGAGGAGCCAGGTGAATCTGCACAGTAGAATCAGAAGCCGGCTCTAGAAGATTCCTGTGGCAGGGCCCTGGGCCGTTGGATTGAGAGATCCAACAGACGAAAAAAAATTAGGTGACGTGGACATGGCTTCTCCTGCAGGAGCTATTGGGTTTTGTGGGGTTATAAATAAATAAATGTGGAAGACACGTACACGCGAAAGGTTCAAATTTTATTTATCTGTTCTGTACTTTCTAGTCCGGAAAGAAAGTGTCTGCATACGTTTTCAAGTACGAACCAAGATAAACGAGAACACATTATACGGTTATTAAATAAATCTCGTCGTCCAATAACCGTACAATAAGTTATATAAAAAAGGCGCAAGTCGTAGTCCAAAGTCTTCAAGCTTCTGTTATATATTCAACTTATCGTGTACAGAAGTTGTAGATGGAGCAAAGCAAATCTACACGTACATGTCGATACACTGGTTTGATCAAGAGATTATATATATAATAATTATAAGCTCTTTGTTTTCTGTGAACGCCACTGTAGTTACGCAGTACCCCCGCCTCCCCCTCACAGCTCCCTGTTCATCTACAGTCGTCGTTCCTGCCCATTGATTTGTACAGGCCTCAAACAGATGTACGCCACGTGGGTTCCCGTGGCCCCCTACGCTGCCCCATCGAGCGCTCCCCAGAAACTTCCGCCCACCTCCACCTGCCCCATCCAGCATTCGCACAATCCTCTGTCTCCCTCCCGTTAAAAACAAAGCGCCGCCACCGTGGCCTCCGCCATTGCTGCGGCCGCCGATGCCTGCCCCTCCGACCAGGAACGCCGCCGTCGCGACGTCGCCCTCGAGCAGCGCCAGTCAAGCTCCGCCCGTCCCGCTCGCGCCGCTTTGCCATTGTTGATTGACTGAGCTAAACTAAAACAGGTGTCCATTTTTTTTCCCTACACAATTCCCACCGCAATATAACTATGAATATTATGATGTCTTGGAAGGATTTAGGATGGTTCTTACAATCACGGTTCTTCTATTTCCGGTTAGTCAACATGGTGACTCTGCTTATGGCTACCATTTTCCTATAGTTCTGCTTACCTTACAGATTTATGTGAAGCTTCTCCTGTATGTGCCACCATATTTTAATAAAAAACCTATGCGAGTCTACATTGATCTCATCAAAGACCATGACGCCGCTTTTATAGGTTGATCTCATGAAACAAATCTCAACAATTTGAGTAATTTGTCCATTACTTCTTACTCTGTGCTGCTTCTGTATACATAATGGGTGTTCTATTTCCATCCTGCTCACCTGCCAATTTTAGAAACTATGAAATTACTTTGGACAATCTGATCTTTCACCATATCCTGTTTGGTTACTAATTTGGGTAAATATAATATATATATCAGAGTGCCAAATCATTGCTCTGGCTGACAGGCCCAACCTTGTACAGCATGTCATGTCCTCAGTCATGTGTCCTGTTTTGATTCTTCCCCTTTGCTATTGCTATTGCTGTTGCCTGGACACATGTGCCCACATCCTAACATATTTGCTAAAAGATTTTTTTAATGCACATAACATAGTTATTCATGAATTAAATTCTTTACAAAGACAAAGCCTGTTGATTTCAGCCGGGACTTATCAGTCATGATACAGTGTTTTTCTCTCACAACAAATCAACCATACAAACCAGCACAAGCGGCTTATCGAAAAAGCAAACAGTCTGGATGTAATCTCCCCTCCTCATAGGATGATACTTTCCCACTATATTTATTTTCCTGTGCCGGCAGTTGTCTCTAATTATTCATTATGTAATGCAACTCTTTCTACCTCAGGTTTCATTGCATTTCACACAATCAGCAATATAGCTACACCAGTCGGCATCACTCATTTCACTAAGAGTCGGGCAACAGTGGGCTCATGATGGATCTGCAGGTCACAGCCAAAGTGCCCAAGCTGCTTCTGAATATTTGCGTCACAGCCAATTGTCACCGAGCCGACAGAACGGGACAGATATATGCATCTTTTGGTCAACTATAACATGTAACACCAATATTTGGCCAGCCATCTGTGTTCCCCCTTCACAGAACCAAAAATTCCTACTATCTGCAGTACTTCCCCGATGTGTACAAAACATACTTTGGTTGCAATATGTACAGATATATGATGATTAATCGTCCTTTACACTTTATGGTTGCATACCAAACTTCTATGCTTCTGTATGCATACAATCACACACAAATAATCCACGCACCCCTATTACTCGCGCGGGTTCTGGCTAGTATATAATAGGCCATGTTTAGTTCTAAAATAACTTTCCAAAAAGTGCTACAGTACCTATTACATCGAATCTTGTGATATGTGTATGGACCATTAAATGTAGACGAAAAAAAAACTAATTATACAGTTTGGTGGAAAATTGTGAGACGAACGTTTTGAGCTTAATTAGTCCATGATTGAACACTAATTGTTAAATAAAAATAAAAGTGCTACAGTAGACAAATTTCAAAATTCCTTTCAACTAAACACGCGCATAGTTTATTTAGGGAGGAAATACATCAGATATATATAATACAATCCTCCCCGTGATACCTTTTTTAAGCGGCGATATGATATGAGTAATAATAGTGGCATATTAAAGTCCACTTTGCACTTACTACACTAGCTACTTCTTGTAGAAATAATTTCCGTGGAAACCGTATGGAACCCTTTGGGGCAAAGTAATTTTCGCTATTGGCTCGTCAGAAAATCTTTTTGCGTCGATAATGTACACCTGTGGACACGATGTTTTTCAGTAATAATTAAGGACATGTATGGAAACGAAAATAATCAGGTAGCGTGGTTTTGAAGAGCACAACTAATAAGTAATAATATAATAAATTACCTCCTCATCATGGACGTACGTAATGACCCATCCATCATCTTCGTGGATTCCATTTTTCTTTGCAACAAATTGAACTCCAGAGCAGAATTGTTTCTCTTGTAAAGCATGATACTCCACTGAGATAAATTGTTTGTTTTCCTGTGTTTTTTACTGGTGTACTTCAGTCCTTAATTACTAGAAAAAATATAAGTGGTCATTTATTTGCGTAACACTTTGTACTACATGCTAACCTTGTCGTGCACGTCAAAGTGCAGCTTTGCTATCATCTTGTACTTAATCAAGCCTGCATATTACCACGGACTGCACATGTTAAGACATTTTGGGAGGTGATGAGCATATGTCAACAAAAAAACATAATAAATAACATGCGCCCATGTGATTTGTAATAAGCTAAGTGTGAGAACGAGAACACATGAAGGAATGAAACATATATCCACAAGGCAATGCTACTGTGTAATAAAGACAACACGTTACCTGTTTTACTGGTTGCTACTGAGTCAACAACTTGAGCGTACCCATACTTGTTTATAATCCCTGTGAAGTTTTCATTGATGACTGGAAAATCCATTGCCACATCCTCACTAGTAATATAACCTTCACTTGCTATGCCACTTCCCAAATTTAACCTCCATTCATAAGGGCGAGAAAAGAGAATGCCATCTAGTGACGGGTCATAATCTTCCGAGTTCTTATCTGGTGGCACAAACACCCTTCTGTACCACTTCGACTTGTCAACATTGTGGGGGTGCACCAGGGATTACTGAGCCAAGTGTGCGACAGCCTCTGACAACAACCTGCTCATGAGTTTTTGCGGGTGAGTACGTACTATTTACAAGTAAAGTTTTATTAATATGGGAGCATGTTACTGTTAGTTGGGAGCAAAATTTTAGTTGGCAGAGGAAATTCTACCGACATCCTCTTCACAAGTTCATTCAATCACATGAAATCCCCTGACAACAACTGGATCCAGCCAGCAACCCACTATATGGCTTTGGTGGCAAGAGAGTAAATGCAATTAGAAAAAATTGTTACCAATGTCATTTGGCAATACGTGAAATGCTAGAACAAAATACAACACCTTCAATGTAGTAAACATGATGCACCCATATCATGCCATTTTCGGTAGTGGATTTACCAACATATTAAGTGTTGTAGTGCATCAAGGATACTTAGTTACGGCCAATTCATAGGATAATCTCTATATTTGATCACACTACTAGAGAACAGACTTTAGAACGATATTCTAATTTGGCATTAGTCTCGGCATTTTTTGCCCCCGGGACTAAAGGTTCCTTTAGTCCCGGTTGGTAATACCAACCAGCACTAAAGGTTCCTTTACTCCCGGTTGGAACCACCAACCGGGACTAAAAGTCCTTCAACCTTTAGTCCCGGTTGGTAATACCAACCGGGACTAAAGGTAGACCATTTAGTCCCGGTTAGTAACACCAACCCGGACTAAAGGACCCTTTAGTCCCGGTTGGTAACACCAATCGGGACTAAAGGTCCCCCGATGGGTTAGTTCAAAAGGAAAGTATCCCATCCATTGTTAGATGTGTTGTGTAAGTGGGGTGGTAAGCTCGCGCGAGGCAGTGCATGAGGTCTTGGGTTCGAATCTCATAGGGCGCAGCGGTGGAAGGCATTATTTTTTTAAGCTGGGAGGATCTTTAGTCCCGGTTGTGGCAAACCGGGACTAAAGAACACCACATTTAGTCTCGGAACGCTAGTCTCGGTTGGGAAACCGGGACTAAAACCAGTTCCCAACCGGGACTAGATGTCAGTTCTGTAGTAGTGTCATGACCACAAAATGACAAGAGAATTGGAAGGAGGCATTGCTCTAGGTCAGCAAAGTGTTCATGTGCTCGAATAAGAACATAATAAGCAAACAAACCTCTTTGCCACCAATTTAGGATCAAATGATGCAAACATCAAGAGTGGAAAAAACTTGTGAGACAAAGAAAGTTGAACTGGACAAGAGTCCTAGATAACAAATAATAATAGATGTAGATCTAACTGAAGAAGATGAGCAAAGATTGGTAGGGTTCTTGATAAGCAATGGCGATATCTTCGCATGGTGATCCCTAGATATAAAACGTGTTCATAGAATAACCAGAGACAATAAAAAGGACATTGATCCCAATCATCCACCAGTTTGACAAAAACTCTGAAGAACATTAGAAGACAGACAACAGGCCACAAAAGCCAAAGTGAAAAGGCTACCTGGATGCATGAGTTATCAGGCTAGTAAAATACTCAAAGTGCCTTGAAAATGTAGTCCTAGTAAAGAAGAAAAATGGAAAATGGTGCATATGCGTCGATCTCACCAGCCTCAACAATGGTTGCCCTAGAGACAAGTTCCCATTATCGCTCATCAACCTGCTGGTGGATGTGGGGGCCGGTTGCAAATGCTAAGCTATTATTAGAATGTTTTTGTGGGTATCATCAGAAATGGATATGGGAGGACAAAAAATGAAAGACAAGTTTCACCCCCCCTTCGGCACCTACTACTTCTGCCAAATGGTCGAAGGACTTTAGTGTAAGCAACACTTTTTCCCAGATGTCAGTTGAAGTCCTAGGAGGCTAGATCCATAGCTTGGTAGAAACGTATCAATCTACATGGATGACATTGTTTTTCAACTCAAATTAACTAAAGACCATATCGAAGACCTACGATAAACTTTCTTGAATATGTGAAGCTTAGAGCTCAAATTGAATCTAGAGAAGTGTGTTTTTAATGTAAAATAAGGGAAACTCCTAGGTTGCTTTGGTCTCAACAAGAGAGATCAAAGCCAATCTAGGAAAAATAGATGCAGTACTTTAATTTGAATGCAACCGTCACACAAAAAGATGGTGCAAGAGTTAAATGACCACATGGTAGTACAAAACAAATTTATTTCAAGGTCAGCTGAGTGAGCAGGCCATTCTTTGAAATCCTATAAAGTTAGGAACCATTCAATTGGGGACAAAGACAACAAGGACATTTGAAGAGATGAAAACATATTTAACAATCTGATAGCCCAAACATGTCCTTCATACGTAACAATTTCGCCACAAGGAGTCAGTGTTGTAGAATAAGAAGAAGTAAAACATCAAATGAAGCAATTCCCAGTCTACTTGTATCCGAAGTATTGATAGGATCAAAGAGGTTCTATTCTAAAATGGAAAAGGTAGCATATATATGCCATAGTCATGGCCTCCTAAAAATGTTGTCACTACTCTAAAGTAAACACAGTCATAGTATACCATCCACTGCCCCCTCAAAGACATATTCAAAAATAATGAAGGGCTAGGGAGGATTAGAAAATGGCCAGGTGAATTAACTGTATTCATCATAAACTATACACGAAGAACAACAATCAAGTCTCAAGCTAGAGCTGACTGGGGACTTTCGACGTGAGAATAGAGAATCAACTTCACCCAAAGTCATAAAGGAACCCACCTATCAGTATGTGCTCATGGAGCTTGGGGGCTTCCGACGTGAGAATAGCCGAGTAACCAAATTAAATACAATCTTATGAAATTTATTTTGCATATGAAAGACAACCCAACACCACATTGCATGCATTTATGCTAGATTGGGTTATGCTACATAAGTCCTAATGTTGGCTAAGGCTATTGCAAGCAACTCATCACACCCTAAGATATGAGTACCAATACCGAAAACATCAGATTTGCCGAGTGCTAAAATATTTGTCGAGTGCATTCCATCGGGCACTCGGCAACAAAGCTGTTTGCCGAGTGTTGTAGAAACAACACTCGGCAAAATAATGGCACTCGGCATATCAAATTCTTTGCCAAGTGCTGAAAAAAGACAACTCGGCAAACTAGGAAAAAACACTCGACAAAACAGAGACACTCGGCAAAAAACCACCACGTGGACATCCGCCAGTTAGTGTGCCGGCCATTAGGTGTTTGCCGAGTGTCCGTTAGTGGCACTCGGCAAAGAAGTAAGTTTGTCGAGTGTTTTTCTTTAGCACTCGGCAAAGAAATAATTTTAGCGAGTGTTTTTTGGCACTCGGCAAATAAATAAGTTTTTTTCTCTTCTAACCTTGAAACTTTTTCTACTCTCCACATACAACATGTGGTACTCCATGTTAAGATTTGATATATTTCTGGCTCTGTTTGCTATATTTAATTAATTTATTTAATTTTAAGGATTTTTTGGTATAAGTCAATTTGAACTGCAAGTGATTCAAATAATAGAATAAAATGAGTAGAAAAATGATATTCATGTTATTGAGTCCGGTGTGAGGCCTTACCCGGAAAATGAAAAGAAAATTTCGAACATCTTGTTCACGAAACACGACCACAAACGTGTGGCCGAATGGTTTTTAAATTCTAAAAAAAGCAAACGAAGTCTAAAAATCATGAGATTTGTCAAGATCTCATGATATCATACGTGGATGCTGTGGTAAAAAAATTGAGAAGCTTTCGCATAATCTGTCACGTACGATGTTTACAAACCAAAGTATCTCAGAAAAAGAATCATAGCGTTGAGAAGGATTCGGTAGGATTTGGAGTTAAAGTGACGGTCGAATAGGGGTTTGACTTCAAAACTTTTTTGTATAGGCAATAGAGAACATAGATTGATTCGTGTGTAATTTTGGTAATTTTTTGGATCCGTTTGATAATTTTAATTTATTAAGTGCAATTATAGGTTTTTAATTGATATAGATTGAATTTGATCTATAACCGCATGAAATAATAAGTTTTTTTTCTTTTTGACCTTGAAACTTTTTCTACTCTCCACATACAACATGTGGTACTCCATGTTAAGATTTGGTATATTTCTAGATCTGTTTGCTATATTTAATTAATTTATTGAATTTTGAGGAATTTTTTTGTATAAGTCAAATTTGAACTGCAAGTGATTCAAATAATAGAATAAAATGAGTAGAAAAATAATATTCATGTTATTGAGTCCGGTGTGAGGCCTTATCCGAGAAATAAAAAAAATTTCAAACATCTTGTTCACGAAACACGACCACGAACGTGTGGCCGAATGGTTTTTAAATTCTAAAAAAAGCAAACGAAGTCTAAAAATCATGAGATTTGTTAAGATCTCATAATATCATACATGGAGGCCATGGTAAAAAATTGAGAAGGTTTTCGCACAATCTATCATGTACGATGTTTACAAACGGAAGTATCTTAGAAGAAGAATCGTAGCGTTGAGAAGGATTCGGTAGGATTTAGAGTCAAAGTGATGGTCAAATTGGGGTTTGACTTCAAAACATTTTGTATAGGCAATAGAGAACATAGATTGATTCATGTGTAATTTTGATAATTTTTTGGATCCGTTTGATAATTTTAATTTATTAAGAGAAATTACATGTTTTTATTGATTTAGATTGAATTTGAGCTATAACCGCATGAAATAATAAGTTTTTTTCTCTTCTGACCTTGAAACTTTTTCTACTCTCCACATACAACATGTGGTACTCCATGTTAAGATTTGATATATTTTTTGGATCTGTTTGCTATATTTAATTAATTTATTGAATTTTAAGGAATTTTTTGGTATAAGTCAAATTTGAACTGCAAGTGATTCAAATAATAGAATAAAATGAG